TGTAGAGTTCGCTGTAAAATTGTCCGACAGTTTGTAGAATTTCCTGTTTATCTGTTATTATTTCGCCCTTTGTGTTTTTCAGTTTGTAAATATTTTTCTTTCCTATTTGCTGTTTTCTTCTGAAGACTTTTAAACTTTTGTTCTCTTCTATGACTTTTGATATCTCTCTGGTGTTGTAGTCTCTTATATCTTTTCTGATGTTCTTAGTGATTTGTTTGTTTAGTTGTCTCATTTTTGTTAGGTTGGTTCTGTATTTATCTGTTAGTTGTCTTCTTTCCTCGAGTTTTCGTGCTTAGACTTAGTTTTTCTTCGTCTTTTTGGTTTTTTGGGCAGCATTTTTCTTGTGCTTGTTTCAGAGCTTTGACTATTTTCTGGTTTAGTTGTTCGATGTTTATGTTTTCTGTTTCTTCGTTTTGTAATTTTTCTTCGACCGTACGTTCAAACAGTTTTGCATTTTCAGGTGGTACCCATCTTCTAACATTTGGTTTAGGAACAAGCTTCATTCTTTCTTTTTTAACGTTAAGCATTACTTTTGTTCTTAACATCCTATGGTCGCTGCCAGCAGAGAACTTGTTGAGTACTTCCACGTCTTGTATTATATATTTTTTATCTGTAATTATAAAGTCGATTTCGTTTTTGAATTTTCGTTTCTGTCCGCTACCTTGGTCAGAGATTTTTGAGCTGCCGGGAACTGAGGGCCGTGTTTGGTTTGTGTTTTGCATGTTTACGGGGGGTTTGGCCTTAAAACGCCATGCTGGCCAGACGTGTTGGCGAGTTGGGGGAGGATATAGGGAAGGAATTTGGGGTTTGGGTAGGATAATATTGGGGTTTGGGCCTGGTTTCCCCTAAGTAGGGAGTAGAGGAAAATCAGGAGCTCGCGTGGGCAGGGGCGCTACCTCCCTGAAGTAAGTCTACCCTCTATCGGGATCATAGAGGGGTACCAGCCCGCTGGTACTGGTATTTAGTGCTGGTGGTATTTAGTGCTGTGGGATAAGAACATTACCATAAAGACAAAAAAGAGAATATATAATACCCTGACAAGAAGTATCCTGACATATGGGTCCGAAAACTGGACAATAAACAAGAGAAATGAAGGTAGTATAAGAGCAGTAGAAATGGAGTTGCTGAGGAGAAGCTGTAGACTTACAAAAAGAGACAGAATTGAAAACGCAGAGATTAAGCGGAGAATGGGAGTGCAATCAGACATAATCAACTATATAGACGAGAAGACACTCCTGGTACGGTCATGTCAGAAGAGCGGACAGAGGACGCTGGATAAACAAAATCACAGAATGGAGCCCGATCGGAAGAAGAAAGAGAGGAAGACCCCGAAGGTCATTCAGAGACAAAATCGACGAGGCTATGGAGAAAAGAACCCTGCGAGATGGTGACTGGAATGACAGGGAAAATTGGAGAAAACGGTTGAGTGAAGGAAGACAGTGAAAACTGTGGAAATCCTTAGTGGTAGTAGTAGTAGTATTTTTTTAAAGAATAATTAAAAAGGGTCGTAACTCAATAAAAACTGTTTTTTGAAAAAAGTGACAAGAGGCAAAAAAGTTTTAAAAATAATGTGTTAAATTAATGATGCCACAAAATTCATTTGATTGGAACGTACCCAAAAGTAAAAGAAATTATTAAAAAATCAAAGAAATTATTACAAGAATTTTTGGAAGCCAAGCCTTTATACTGGCATTGAATTACTTTTTTCTCTATAGTAAAATACTGAGGCGAGCGTTACGGAACTAGCAACACAAGACGGCGTCGTCTTGTGTTATGTCACAAAATAGCAGTTTATTCCAAGCAGGTTTAAATTAAAAACTGCATAAAAAATAACTAACAAAATAGAGACATTCAATAGGAAGTAAAAAATTTTAAAAATATCTGTCAATATAAGATTCGATTTGCAACGATTGTCAAAATTTAAAAATCTTAAATGTCAAAGTAGTCTGAATAGAAAAAAGCAGCTTCCAACCATGTTCCCCATCGTGTTAGAAAGGGGTCTGGTGGAAGTGGAATGGTTGGAAGCATTTCTTTATAAAGTTGAATTCTTTTAGGAGATTTGAAGAATACTTTTTACAAAACGATACTTTTTGCTAATTTCTTCAGCAACTCTGTTGATTCCATGTGCTAAACAAGTAACGTGTATTAAGTTGGTATAAAATATTTTTATATTGTCCTTCCTTGACCATATATTTTGCAGCATCGGAAAAAAGCAATAATTTATGGCTAGGAACAGCTGCAGGAAGAAAAAATCTTGATATTTTTTCTTGTACAAAGCGTGATATTGTTGCAGAGTTGGTTTTTTCTAATTACTTGAAATTTAAATAGGATTTTTGTAAGATCTGATCGGTTAGAACATCATTATTATTCTGGCTTTACAAGCGTGCGTGGGTCTTAGTCTCCTCAAGAATTTCTCTCCAGTCGTCACTATCTATTACCTTTCTCCGCCAAGCACGTATTCCTCGCTCCAACCTTGTTCCTCTTCTTCTCTGTTTAATGTGTCTATCAAGGAGCGTTGTTCTAGCTGGGTCATTTTGTTCCATCCGCATTACCTGCCCTATCCACCTCAGACGTCCTATCTTAACATATTTTACTATATCAGGTTCCTGGTATAATCTATAAAGTTCAAAATTGTATCGTCTTTTGCACACTCCATTGTCATTCACTGCTCCATAGATTTGCCTTCGAACTTTTTTTTTCGAAACATCGTAACATGTTTTTATTATTTTTTGTTCAGAGTCCAGGTCTCTGAACAATATGTTAGGACTGGACGTATTATTGTTTTGTAGAGTTTTATTTTTATATTTCTCGACATAATTGTAGATTTAAGGAGATTGGCCCAAAATAGCATCTGTTGGCCGTGCAAATTCTGCAGTTTATCTCTGCGGTAGTATTATTTTCAGTATTAAGGAGCGCTCCCAGGTATACAATTTCGTTCACTGCTTTGATGAGTTTCGTTCACTTTTTTGTAGTTTCATTTTAAGCCTTTTTACATCGCACACACTCATCTTCATCCCATTCTTCTACTGACATACCGTCATCTTGGACTAAATCTGCAGAATGATAGCTTTTCGGGTCTGAAGTTTTAAACTGTGTCACTTTGCCAGACGGTTTCTTTTTTGGCTTGAGAAACTTCTTTTTTGATTCAATTTTTTCTCACTTGATCTGGTTTCTTTCTCTTTTTTTATCTTTCATTGCTTGCTCAACTGCCTTTCTTTTTACAACAGAAATGTTCTGAGCTTAATTTAATACTTTGGAGACAGTCGTCAAACATCTCCTAATGGTTACTTTCTGCGTGAGAGAAGGGACGGGTGATATATGTTCTAGAAGTTTAGAAAGAGTCATTTTTGACTGTGTAAGGCTACTAGCAAGATTAAATTGAGTCCTTGGTACTGCAAAGGAGACAGAAGAATCAATAGTGTCACTTGTTGGCACACTAGTTACAGCATTGACGTGTTGGCGGATAAGTTTTGCATTGGAGGCCTCGCCGGATGGTGCACTAGCGAGAGTGTGTGCCAATACATGGACAATGGGCACTGCACCGGAGGAATAGGGCTCTAGGTAGACGTAGGCTGGTATTATAGTCATATCTAGTGGAATTATGCCACAAGCTTAAAATTCACTCACACCATTTTGTACACTTGCAGCTTTGGTTCATGCAGAGTTGAGAAGTTTTCCAAACTGTAGACTCAAATTTCAAGTTCTTTCCCTTCATTATGCAGTATGGGGGAAGAAAAGTACCTTTAGCGCTAGCACAAGCTAGAATAGAAACGGTTTCACCCTTTTTCCCTGACGAAATGGAAGTTACATTTTTGGAACCTTTATGACATTTCCTGGCCTGTTCTTCAGTAGAAGCCCGGTTTCGTCCATGTTAAAAATGTGCCCAGGCGTTTCAACCAAATTGTTTTCCAAAATAACACTTTCGAGTAACTTAAAGTACACTTCCACACACCTCGTGCTCATTCCCTTAGCTCGGGATACAGATACACCTTCTGATTTTCTAATAGTAAGAGTAGTATTTCATAAAGGAAAGGAGTTTAGTCAATCATGACCAGCTTTTTTAGTTTCCTTGTTGAGTGTGTGAGGTAGTTTTAGCTCTTCAGCAAGTTCAAACGCCATTCAAGGAGTAAACCCATGAGCTTGTAACTTTTTTATGTGGCCTACAATCTTCTGTTCATTTATTCTTCCTAAAATGGAGGAAAACCCTAAGCTGTCCTTCGTAAACTTTTGTTTTTTAATCCTTCTTTTAAGAGTGGTCTTAGAAATTTGATAAGCTTTAGCAGCAGCATTGACACCCATTTCTTTATTTTCCACCGCATTAACCACTTGGATTAATGCATCTTTCGTCCACGCCCCTCTACTGGTATCCCTTAGTACGTAGTTAGTTGGCATTTTTCTGAAACAGAAAAATACCAGCAACTTAGTTAGTAATTACACTATAAGTCATTTTAATAAAAGTAACATTTAAAAACGTTGGTACTGGTCCATCTCTCCCGTATTGAAATACGTGGCCCATCTCTACCAATACGTACTGGTTAAAACACTTTTGGACTTTGACGTTTTTCTCGACACATATTAACAACAACACTACACAACTTACAGCATGTCTTCACTGTAACTGAAGCATACCATACTCACAACAAACGATGGTATAACGCTCGAGCTACACACAGTCACAGTTCGGAAATAATGGACTGATTCATCTCTCCCGGTGGTCCATCTCTCCCGGACTTACAGTAAATATGCAAAATCTCCAGATATTTGCATAAAATATGCAAAATATGCAATATATGCATGTTGCATATTTGCATAAGTCTAATTATTATTATTTTTTCCAAAACACTTCAAAGAATTGTTGGGTAAAAATGAAATTGCATTTTATGAAAAACTATGTACAAACATGGAAAACACTACACCGATATCCTTATCAATATTTTTAATATCTTTCAAGATATCTTTATTAATTCGAGTATTATTTTAAAAATAACAACTTAAAGTTTAATTGTAAATTGTTTTGTGATCAGTTCGTGCACTTTTAAGATTGTCAAATTTATCAAAGAGGCTCACATTTGTGTATACGTAAGTACACGTACAATAGCTTATAAAATCATTTTATTTAATTATTTTTCATCATAAAGTCTATATTTACTACTAGATATGTTTATTTTATTTGAATATGTGGTTTTATTATGCTATCTCTATAATCTTAGTATAGTGAGTCATCGATATTATTCGAAGTCTTTTTATTTCTTTTCTTCGTATTTACTATATATCTTTGGTTTTTTTCTTGTTCCTCTCTTACACTATTGAATTCTTGGCTAATTATGGTTTTTCTGTATTGAATTTCTAATATCACAGCCACCTAAAGCTTACAAGCCGTGAAGTGAGAAAATTGGCAACGTTGGAGGTAGTCCGATAGTGGTCCTATAGCCCTGTGTTTACTTATGAGATTATGCTAATTTTGTTTGTATTTCTTGTATAATTGGTGAATTATTCGATTAAAAAAAAAGGTATGTATTTTTTACGTATATTGTAATAATTGTATGAAGCATTAAAGAATTAGATATATATATTATTCAGACAAATAATACGTACAAACTGTTAAATTCACAAATTCGCTTTAGTAATTACAAACCCCAAGTCGATGTTAATTTATTGGCACAGGGAGTAGTAATATGATATTCTAACATATTTTTTTAATTACAGATGCCGAGACACTGCAGTGTACCAAATTGCAAATCAAATTACGCAACTACTTTAAAGTATGAAAAGGCCCAAAGTACATTCTCTTTTCCCAAAAACGATCACCTTCGTACTCAGTGGGTTAGATCTATTAACCGTGAAGATTTCAGAGTAACTTCTAGTTCGGTAGTATGTAAAAAACATTTTGATGCAACGGATATTATTGAAAGTGAGTCATTCATTGATAAAAATGGTACGGTTCTTCAACGAAATTTGGTTTATCCCAAGTTGAAAGAGAATGCGATACCAAGAATTTTTGAAAACCAACCGTCATATTTATCTAACCCAAAACCACCAACAAGAAAAAATCCTGAAACTAGGCGAGCAGAAATAAGTCTCCGGGAAGAAAATAATATAAAAGAACTCGAAAACAAAGACCTTATCGTGGATTTCAAGGAACTTTTACAAAGTGTTAGTGAGAGGGTTGAGTTAAAAAACTGGCAAATAAAAGTTGTAGAAGAAAGGATTTGTTTTTATTTATTAAATATTGACAATCAGTTTAGTGATGAGTGTATAAAAGTTATTTCAAACATTAACATTACGAAGGAATTACTTGTATCTGTTTATGTGAAGGACATCCAACTGTCACCTCATGATTTAAAATGTATTTTACCATTTGACTGTAAGTTATCGCGTTGGTCACAACTAGAAAATCTGCTGTCCAGGTATTCTTTTTTTTTTGAAAGTCCTATTGACAATAATTTTAAAATAACCAAAATATGTAGTGAAATTGACAGAGTCATAGAAAATACAGATGTAGATAAAATGAAGGGAGTTCTGGCTTTTGTGAAAAATCAGTTACTGTTACTAACAGCAAGTAGGGCAAAATATTCTCTACCAACAATTATTTTTGCTCTTACCATATATAATCAGTCAACATCATGTTATAATATTATTCAGCAGTACTTAAATTTGCCCACTAAAAGATATTTACAAATGATAACATCATCCTTTCATGTATCTCCTGATGATCAATTAGAAAATAATTATTTATCATATCTTGCTTCAAATCTGAATGATCGAGAAAAAATAGTCAATTTACTTGTAGATGAAATATATGTAAATCCTGGAGTTCATTATCACTCAAAACAAATTACTGGTTTTGCTGCCAACAATGATAAACAATTAGCGAAAACTATTCTAACGTTAATGATTTCATCAGCATTTGCACATTTTAAAGAAGTGGTGCGTTTAGTACCTGTATGTAATATTGCTGGTAATGAACTCAAAGACATAGTTCTTGAATCAATTCAGTATATTCAGGACTGTGGATTTAAAGTATTGTGTGTAATTACCGACAACAATCGTTTAAATCAAAACATGTTTGGTCAGTTATCTCCAAATTTTTCCATATCTAATCCTAAGTTTAATAATGAGAATATTTATTTATTATATGATTTTGTACATATTTTTAAAAATATTAGGAATAATTGGCTTAATAAGAAAGACCCAGAAAAAACCTTTATTTTTCCAGATTTTAATAATCATTCAGTTCTTCGAAAGGCATTTTTTAAGGACTTACAAACATTGTACCAAATTGAGATAAACTTTTTAACCAAAAGAGCATATAAACTAAATCATAAATCTATTTATCCAAATAATTTTGAAAGACAAAAAGTGTCTTTGGTAGAAAATATTTTTCATGAAAGTACAATAGCTGCTTTACAGTCATGTAGTATTTATACAGACACAGCCTCATTTTTAGAAATTATTAGAAGTTGGTGGAACATAATTAATGTAAAAACTAAATTTAAAGGACAGGCAAAAAGGAATGATTTGGCTACCCCAATTTTTTCAGATAATGATTTCAAAGTAGTTTTTTTAAAAAAATTTGTGATGTGGCTAGATTCTTGGCATCAAATTCCTGAAGGCTCTTCACTTACAAATGATACATACCTTGCTCTTAAAAACAGCACATCAATTTTGATCAAAGTAATAGAGTATTCATTTAATCATTTAAATATAGAATTTATATTACCTGGCAAATTCCAAACGGATAATTTAGAAGAAAGGTTTGGTCGTTATAGGTACCTATCTGGCTGTAATTATAACATTTCAGTTACTCAAGTGATTGATTCAGAAAAAAAAATTCGAATACAGAATATTCTGAAATCGTCTGTTACTAGTGATTTAACACAATTAAAATTTCAGCCACCTGATGATCTAAATTGTGCAACACTTAATCAGTTCATAGAATGTTCAGAATTTACTTCTATTTTTAATAGTGATTATCTGCGTACATACAATTGTGAGGAATCAAGTCAAATATATATTAGCGGATATGCAGTTCATACTGTACAAAAAACTCTTAAATGCCTTACCTGTAGAGATCTGATTGTACAAAGTATAGGTGATAAGGTAAATGATGAATATTTTGATTATCTGCAACGAGGTGGTTTATCTGTTGCAACAAATGAAGTTCATTATATTTATTATCACTCGTGTGCTCTTTTTGAATACATAATTAAACATCCAGAAACTATGTCACTGTTTTTGTCTCATAAAAATCAAAAATATTTATTGGCTTCTTTAGCCCTCACGAGTTTGGAAAGTGACAATTTTTATATTGATTTTTCTAAAATTTGTGTTTGTGGAACAGCTGTTAGAGAATTATATTTTAAAATTTCTGTGATTTTCTCCAATACTTTGTTAAATAACTTCACAAAAAACAAGAATAATGAAATTATGACAAAGAAACTAACTAAAAGTTTATCTAAAAAGCGCAAGCTTTCAACTTTAAAAAAATAAATACCTGGAATTTCAATAACATTTTTTTAAGCCACTCTTAATAAATATAATATTCGCTCAAGGGATACTAGAATTCAATAAACTGCAAGTTGTTTACAAATGTACCTTATCAAACTATTTTGTTCGATTTTTTTACTTAATTTTAACTTTATAGCGAATATTATGATGTTCCTCTTTTATTTATTATTTTGATGGGCTCTTTATAGTCGGACTACTTCTAACAGCTGATGCGGCGTTGCCATTTTTAGTTCACGGCTTGTAAGCTTTAGGTGGCTGTGCTAATATTATAATATTTATCTATGGTAATGAACATAACCTATAGATATATTTGACATTCAATGTAAGCTTAATATATGTCAGTGTTGCCATATGGTCAATTATTTCATACTAACATCTAAAATTATAGGCAAGAGCACTTGAATCGGTGTCAACAAAAACGTTCAAAGTCATGAAAACCATTTTTTCGGGAAACTGAAAAAAAACTGTATAGATCTGTATTAGTCATCTAAATTAATACCAAAAAATTTGAGAATCTTTTTGACACTTTTAGATGTAATGTTTCATATTTCTCAGTGCAAAATTATCTATCGTATTACTCGAAGTAATAATAAGTTCGGTTATCTCGTGTAAGGTGTATATCCTATTATGTCTTTTTAGTTTTCTTTTGATGATTGAAAAATCCCTGTCACAATGAAGGTAGGAGTCTCCTCTAATGGAATAATATTGCTCAATTCGATTGAATCGGCCACTGTCGGTAAGGGCTAAAAACAATCTGTTTAATGTATGGTTCTTATTTTGACCTCCGCAATTATCCGAGTAAATGTGGACTTACGTAAACTGAGGAGGAGCAGAGTTTAAATAAATGATTATATTTTGCATATAATCGAAAGCTATTGCTAGCACATGTGATTCTTTTGCTTTTGTTTCTTGGTTAGTTTCTCTTTTTAATTTATTGTAGAATTTTTTTGATCTACGGTTGTGAATCATCAATTCAGCAGAAACATTTCTTTTTGCTGCATCACTAAGATGACGACTTCTCAATTTGAAATTTAGTTCTTCACAAATACAGCATGAATCAATCTGGGGGCGACCAAATCGTAAATTGGAGTTGTCTTATTAATAGCCTGGTATTGCCTGGTGAACATTGGTGAGCACTGATTGCATTAGTTCCCAATTTTTTCCCACGAAGATCCTTCGGGGTTTTACCCATTAATAATAATGAACGAAGCCTTCTAATACGACTTATTTTAATTCCATAGAGCGACTTAAATGCTTCTATACATACCTTTTCTCTGGTTTCACCCACAATTACCTCGTATGTAAAATAAATTATGAGCAGCCCTCGCAGAAGCACCTTATTTTCTGGGTCTATGGATTTGTACATTATTACAGGTAATCAATGAATGTAAGATGTTTCTTCAGATCATAACCTCCTGATAGCGCGGGTACACATTAGACTCAAAAGACCTTCAAATAAAACAAAAATAGATCACATAGATACTAGCCGCTTACAAGATCCAACAATTAAAGAAGATTTAAAACAACATATCAATGATAACTTACGAAAGCTTTCTACAAAGACAGAGAACACGCATGTAGAAGACAAGTGGCAAGATTTAAAAGACGCCATAATAAAACCTGCCCAGAAAATGCTTACCAAAGAGAAACAGAAAAAAGGACGAGAATGGATAACAGAAAAAATTTTAGGTCTCATGGAAGAGCGAAGACAGTTAAAGGGAAAATGCAGCCAAAAATATAATGAAGTAAACAAACAAATCAGAAAAGAAATAAGAACTGCAAAGGAAAATTTTTATACAAGAAAATGCGAGGAAATCGAAGAACTACATCTCAAACATGACACTTTTAACTTACATAAAAAGATAAAGGAACTGACAGGTACACAAAAACGAAAACATCCCAATCTCCTATGCAACGCAAATGGTGAAATAATAGCCAATCTACAAGAAAAGCTTAGGACCTGGAAGAACTATGTAGAAGAATTGTTCGACGATGAAAGACAAGAACCTAATATAGATAACTTGCAAGGCGAGGAAGGACAAGAAATAACTAAAGAAGAACTATTATACGCTATAAAAATAATGAAAAATGGTAAATCACCGGGTCCAGACGGGCTCACATCAGAACTTCTTAAGCTTGTGGAAGGCGAATCAGTGAATATTTTACTCGACCTTTTTAACTGCATCTACAAAAGAGGAGAAATACCAAAGGAATGGCTACTTTCAACTTTTGTAACCTTACCAAAAAAGGCAAATGCAAAACAGTGCACTGACTATCGCACTATAAGCTTAATGGGGCATACATTAAAAGTATTCATCAAAGTAATCCACTCAAGAATTAACAGAAAACTAGATGCAGATATTAGTAATACTCAATTCGGATTTCGGAACGGGCTTGGAACAAGAGAAGCACTATTTGCACTTAACGTCATATGCCAAAGATGTCTACATATAAACCAAGATATATATATATATATATATATATATATATATATATATATATGTGTGCTTTATTGACTACAACAAAGCGTTTGATAAAGTTCGTCACGATCACTTAATGAAACTGCTAGTAGAAAAAAACTTGGATAAAAGGGACATTAGAATTATCTCTAAGATTTACTATAACCAGAAAGCAAATATCCGAATAGAGCAAGAGACATTGGAGGAACTCGAGATCAAGAAAGGCGTAAGACAGGGTTGTATACTCTCACCGACCTTATTCAATCTATACTCCGAAGACATTAAAAACACAGCACTTTCTGATCAAAATATAGGTATTAAGATAAATGGCATCCGAATAAACAACTTGAGATATGCCGATGACACGGTACTAATCGCAGAAACTTGGGAAGATCTTCAAATACTAATTAACAAAATAGTAGAATGCAGTGAAGAACACGGACTATCATTGCATGACCGTGCATGATCAAAGAATCGAACGTGTAAGAAGATATAATTACCTGGGAACTGTTATCAACGAAAATAATGATTGCTCTGAAGAAATCAGAACCAGAATAGAGAAAGCTAGAGCCACATTTACTAAATTGAAAAAGGTGTTCTGCGGAAGAGATCTAAGTCTAAAACTTAAAATTCGCCTTTTGAGATGTTACGTTATGTCAGTTCTCCTCTACGGGATGGAAACATGGACATTGAAAAAGATCGATACCAAAAAGATAGAAGCATTTGAGTTGTGGATGTAGAATATTAAGAATACCCTGGACAGAGAAAGTAACAAATGTGGAGGTTTTGCGGAGAGTGCGGAAAGAGAAAGAGCTGATACTTACTGTTAAAAAGCGCAAACTACAATATTTGGGACATGTTATGAGGGGAGATAAATACCAGTTGCTGCAATTGATTATACAGGGAAAGATAATGGGAAAGAGATCTATAGGAAGAAGAAGGCATTCATGGTTGAAAAACTTGAGAGAATGGTACCATTGCACCAATTACCAACTGTTTAGATCTGCAGCATCAAAAGTACGCATAGCTTTGATGATAGCCAAACCAACGGAACGAAGACGGCACTTGAAGAAGAAGAATGAATGTAAAAAAATATCCTGCTCATTTTTAGTTTCCAATGTTCTCAAATGGACGAATATCTCTTCAGCTTGATTCTGCAAGTTGTCTGTACACTTCTGCTTACATCTGAAATCAAAAAATCTCGATGAAATAAACCTTAGTTTATTATAATAGACTGCAAAACTCTACCTTTGTAATTAATGTACTGTTCACCTTTGACTCTAGCATTTCTCACGATGTTTCGTTTCCACTTAGCTTCATTTTTAACTTTTCTTTCGTCGCTGGTACTGCTTGGTTCATTATCCATCGCATTTTTTAAAAGAATACAATAAAATGATGCTAAATACAACTTTATCCTCAAAAAACATGTGGTTATTTAATTTTATTAGAGATTCACAGAATATACAGGATTCATTAATACAGTACAAACACATATGTTAATAGTATTGCCTACAAAAACATTCTGAGCCACTGACATAGATTCTTTTAGTCTACAATGATATATTTCAGTTTTCTATTTAACATACATAGAAAGTAGAGACTTAGAATGTTTTTGTACCAAAAGATGAATGTTTTTGTTCATAGAACAATTTTTCATCAAAATGTCAAAAATGAAAAAAAAACGGGTTAGAATGTTTTTGTTTACACCGATTCACTTAATATAATTATATAAAATGAAATTTTTTTTTATTGAGTTTAATGCGTTGACAACTAATGGTCATTGGCATGGTACAGTGAATTTTTACAGTCAGGTACCTAGTGTAGAGTGTAGTGTGTGTGTAGAGTAATTGTCTTGATACTTAGCAAAGTCGACGTCATTGTCTTTGCTAAGAGACGCTAATTGTATCCGAACGTCTGCGGTCCCTCTGGTGATTACCGATCGTACAAGGATAGAAATTATTTTCATCTATTAATTTTTAATAAACGAAAATTTCTCCACCAAGGTGAGATTCGAACTCACGATCTTTGCGTTCAAAGGTAGGCGCTCTTACTACTGAGCCACAGAGGCGGTTGAAATGAAAATTGAAAACAAACAAAAACGTGAAAAATTTCGGTTAAATGTTATTTGGTCCCCCGGGGCAACAATAAACGTAGCCATAACGAGTTTTTCGCCACTTGAGAATTATTATTCCATTTTCGTCCTCTGTATTTACAGATTCACCTTTCTTCAGCTTTTTCATCATAACTTCTTTTGGAGAATATTTTCTTGAGATCCTAACAGTACCGATTAAATGCGTATTTTGATTTAAGAGCGATAAAGCCAAGGAGCAAATAGTGTAGAAGTTATTAACAAATAACGTACGACCTTGATTTAGAAGGCCCTGCGACAATTTTAGACATACATGATGACCCAAACCTAAATTTGTGTCAAATATTTCTGCTTTGTTTTCATAAATGCTCGTAGTCCAGGTATATCCGTTTGTTGTACAAAGTTTGTTCTGGTGACGCCATTCTTAAATCTCTTGTTTACCAGAATATAGTCTATCTGATTTCTAATCATATGTAGTGAATTATCTCCTGGTCCCCTCCATGTGTATAACCTTCTTTTGTGTAATTTGAACCATGTATTTGCGATTATCATGAGATAGGCAACTCAATGTTTAAATTTCGTTCATTAGGACCCCTTGCGGCTGGCGTCAATACTAATCATCTTTTGGCGGCAAATTCGAATGGACACCCCTTACATACATACCCTTTAGCGCCTCTTGCGGGCTATTTCGTTACTAATTAAAATTTACTGGAAAATAAGGATATATAAAAGATGCACAATTTTTTCTAGATATACGTATATTTATTTGTTGTTTAAGATAAAACAGTTATAAACTAATTACATCATATTTATCACACATATTTTTAGAAACAAATGTTAAATACTATTATTGTTTGTTTCCTGACAACTTCCTATCATCATCATAATTGACATTGCGGAATTAAGCTTCGTTGGATTATTTTATTGACACCTCTAGACTGTGTTAGAATAAATGATTGGTTAAAGTCTTCGTGAGAGGGATAGATAAAAGAGGGAATCTAATCCTTATAAAAAGGAGACCAGAAAAGTGGCCTCTGATGGCGGACATATCCGGAAATGCGAATGCGCCAAATTTAAATTTTCCGACACTTATCAACAGTAGCTATATAATATTTTTCAGAATGTGTCTTAGACGACAAAGTTTCAATTAATTATTAACGATAATAGTCTAAAATGCGACACAATTGTTTAAAAACTTCAATATAAATAAGATTTCATGTGATATTTGGGACAAACAATAACATAACCCAACTAACTTTGATGTCAAACAAGGAGAGAGACTCTCTTTCCTTGTTTAATGTGGCCTCTAAAAATCGCACTTCCTGTCTAACAATATGTTTGCCCCCACTACCTTTAAATTCCCTCTTTTGTCTTTTTGCTCGATGGGTTAAAGTGATGGGGGAATGAACCAAGGTCATTCATATAAGTTTCCAGGGCATGGTTTAATTCATGGCCTGGAATCTTATATGAATGACTTGGTTCATTCCCCCATCACTTTGACCCCAGCGAGTTAATAAAGAGAAATAACAGCCTATCTCTCTCACGAAGACTTTAACCAATCATAAACCAAATAACATAATCAAACGAAGCAATGTCAATTCTGTCAATCCAAATTAATGACAGATCTTCCGTTTGTTTACAAGTTTTCAATTTTATTTTACTATCTTTAACTTTCGTTTGCATTTATTCTTAGTAATTTTAATTTAAATTTGGTTACTTAATTTTTAAAGTTTATTTTGAGTTACCTATTGTAGCAAAGAATTTTTGTGTTGTGCTAGTAACAAAACTAAACATGGTGAATTATTGTATTGTTCGTTGTGTACAAATCAATCATCAAACAAACAAAAAGAATGTTAGTAAGTTGTTAGAGAGCAAAAAATAATAGTATTTAACTTCTGCGTGTAATAATATGTGTAATAAATATTATGTAATTATTTTATAACTGTTTTATCTTAAACAACAAATAAATATACGTATATCTAGAAAAAATTGTGCATCTTATATCCTTATTTTCCAATAAATTTTAATTAGTAACGAAATAGCCCACAAGAGGCGCTAAAGGGTATGTATGTAAGGGGTGTTCATTCGAATTTGCCGCCAAAAGATGATTAGTATTGACCCCAGCCGCAAGGGGCCTAATGAACGAAATTTATACATTGAGTTGCCTATCTATTTCTACTATTATATTATTTATCTATGGTTTAATTTATTGGAAGTAGGTACGTTGCCGAAATAAGTACCTACAGAAGCAGACGAGGACACCACCGAGAAAACACCAGGATCCGAGAGGAAAAATCCACTGAAGCTGGCGGTGCAAGAGCCGGACCGTCCCGCTTTCGGGACGCCGAAGAAAAGAAGGCTAAAATTGTATTTTTATTTTTATTTTATTTTATTTAATTTATTTACGGCAACTATAGACATAATATGCACTATTGTATTCGTACTTTTAGTTGAAAATAGATTAAATGTACTAAATTATTGATCTGTACAAATTTAAATTATAGTTCTGTTGTAGCTTGTCACAAATTTCTCAATTCGAGTCTATGTTTCGGTCTAAAACATGGCGTTCGATCGCTAACAAACTTTTAAGGCGGCATCTGAGAGTGGGCATCCTGATTGTTATTTATTCTGTGTCCTTACTATATAAATATAGCAGTACAACAAAAAACATAAAAATTACTCGATTTGGGTTGGGATCCTAAGTCTAAAAAAAAAAATATTAGCCGCGTGCGAACAAAATTTTGTTTCACCGTCGATTCCGGAAGATTTTATGAGGAAACAATTTTTATTTATACGCAAACAAGTTAATTAATTACCAAGTTAATTACCAAGAAAATCTTTTTGTAGATTTGTCCATTCCCGGACCTATGTAACACTGAAATGGTTTGTGTCAGAGGGGCCAACAGTTTGTGTAAGGCGGAATTTTTTTATCTTTAAGTGCAGGTAATAAATATAGATAAATTTTTATTTTGTAGGTATATGAAATAATGTTTTATAGCCCAAATCTGGAATAAAACTATATGTTGATTTAAATGCATAGTCGAATTTTATATCCAACAGACCATAGTTAAATAAAATTATTATATCATTTCACAAGTACTGAGAATATAATATTTTTTAGACGTTTTCAAAAATAGTAGGGGAAACGTGGGTACACTGAGACGAAAAAACTTAGGTCTTCATATTTTTTTTTCAAAATTTTTTATTTACTAAAGTATGGCGAAAAGACATGACAAGGTTAATTGGTAATACATATGAACACTTAAAATACTACAAATATCGTATAGAAAAAAAGTATTCATTTACTCAAACAAAATAATAGGTGCAATTGTCTATTACTATTTAACTAGGAATAAGCCACAATTAAAGATAAAAATACGTTTATTGACGTTTCAATTTCCACTTCGGAAATCGTTCTCAAAATACCAACAGTATATTAAACAAATTTTGTTTTTTGTCACATAGTGAAAAATTCTTCTAATAATTTAATTTTATCTGACTCATTTATATTGACAATTCAGACATACATTATGCATTTTAAAGTAGACGACTTTAAAATGATATTGCCAATATTGTTGAGTTGCGCTCCTGGGACGACTTTACTTATAAGATTACATGAAATCAACTTTAACTTGAGAATATCCGTCAGAAAAAAATCATAGCATGTAATTCGTCTTTAAAAAGGCAAACACCTGACATGATGACGGTAAAATTCTCCTGTTTGTTGTTCCATAGTAAATTATGAGGGAAAAGCCAGGAAAAAAACCTCATAATACTATCCCGACATTGTAAGTATTTGTTCGTGAATTTAGTTTACCTTCAACAAACATCAAAATACTGATTTTATATGTTACGTTATTTAAAAAACATAAATGATGTATCCTCTATATGTTACTGACTTACTAATACTGGTATTTTCTTATTAATACATTCTGCCGAGGAATTTGCGACACAATTGGCCTCATTTAGCATAATTAGAGCCGCTTCTTTGATTTTTGTTTACCATTCGTTTCTTTTAGGACATTTGAAATATTCCATTGAACCCTATGTTCATTATCCCATGCGTGTTTACATAGTTGAGATCTATCAAATTCTCTATTTTTAATATAAGATTAATGTTCACTTATTCTAACATTTAATGGCCTTCTTTGTCCTTTCTTGTTCATTGTTAGGTTTGGTTTTGGACAAAATAGATCTCAACGTGTTTGTTGTTTTGAATGTAGTTGAAATGTTGAATTTATTTCCTATCCTTTTAAGTTTTTCTTAAAAGAAAAACTTAAAAAAAAACTTAAAAGGATAGGAAATAAATAGTAAGTCAGTAACATATAGAGGATACACCATTTATGTTTTTTAAATAACGTAACATGTAAAATCAGAATTTTGATGTTTGTTGAAGGTAAACTAAATTCACGAACAAATACTTACAATGTCGGGATAGTATTATGAGGTTTTTCCTGGTTTTTCCCTCATCATTTACTATGGAATCACTAACAGGAGAATTTTACTATCATCATGTCATGTGTTTGTCTTTTTAAAGACGAATTACATGCTATGATTTTTTTCTGAAGGATATTCCCAAGTTAAAGTTGATTTCATGTAATCGAATGAACTATCTTATAAGTAAAGTCGTCCCAGCAGCGCAACTCAACAATATTGGCAATATCATTTTAAAGTCGTCTACTTTAAAATGCATAATGTATGTCTGAATTGTCAATATAAATGAGTCAGATAAAATTAAATTATTAGAAGAATGTTTCACTATGTAACAAAAAACAAAATTTGTTTATTTACTGTTTGTATTTTGAGAACGATTTCCGAAGTGGAAATTGAAACGTCAATAAACGTATTTTTATCTTTAATTGTAGCTTATTCCCAGTTAAATAGTAATTAATTTACAATGCCACAAGAAAATAGCTTTAGAACAATATTGTGACATTCTGTCTAACTATACAATGTTATTAAAGAGAAAGAGAGGCTAAATATAGATATACTTGGGTTAGCGATGTACAATGGTCAGAAAATGGAGAGATATCAATAAATAACCACAATATGTATTACACTGGTGGAGACAAAACTGATCATCGATACGGAGTAGCTTTCATTATAAGCAACACTATTAGAAAATCAGTGCTAGGTGTGATTCAAATCTCAGAAAGAATAATAATGCTAAAAATTCAAGCACGGAACTGTAATATTAATATGATCCAAGTCTATACTCCCACAGCTGATAAGACCGAAGATGAGATCGAGAAGTTTTATTCAGAATTGCACAATACAATCAAGTTAACAAAATCTATAGATATTACTTACATTTTAGGAGATTTTAATGCAAAAATTGTAGTAGGTGCAGTTGAAAATATAGTTGGAAAGTTCGGACTAGGAACTAGGAACGAGAGAGGAGAAAGGCTCATAGAATTCTGCCAAGAAAAGAATATGGTAATTGCCAATACTTGGACGTCTCCTTTACATACAGAAAACCACATTGTCAGAAATCAGGTAGACTTTATACTCGTAAATAGCAGATACAAAAACTCTATAACCTCAGCTAAAACTTATCCTGGAGCAGATATTAACTCAGACCACAATCCGTTAGTGGCTGACGTGAAAATAAAATTAAAAAGAATTTAACTCAGAAAACAACAACCAAAAATTAATGTAAGAATGCTAAAAAACGAAGAAATAAAAAACGAATTAAAAAATAATGTGAATTTTAATATGCTAAAATTACTAACTGACAACAAACAAATTATGGATGTAAATAAAAAGTGGTATAATATAAAAAACACTTTACTGAAACCATCTCAAGAAAGTTTGATACAACATAGGTCAGAGGATAAAAAATAGTGGATGACAGACGAAATACTACTACAGATGGAAGAAAGAAGGAAATATAAAGGAAAAGATCTACAGAAGTATACAGAAATACAACGAATAATTAAGGAAAGAATCAAAACAGCTAAGGAAATCTATTTGATGAAACAATGTAAAGAGATAGAAGAACTAGACACCAAATATGATACGAGAAATATGCACAAAAAATAAGAGAAGTGACTGGAATGGGTCGAAATAGACAGCAAGGACACATAAAAAATAAAAAAGGAGTATTACGTAGGAGAAATTAAAACGATGGTAAGAGCACGAAATCAAAGAACATCAGAGCTAATCTTGTAATAGACAATACAACGATTGAGCGTGTGCCCTGTTATAAATATCTAGGTGCTTGGATCACAGACGATACTGATCAAACAAAAGAGATTAGATGTAGAATAGAAATCGCTAGATCAGTCTTTAATAGAATGCGCAAACTCTTTTGCAATCGTGATATCAATATAAAGTTACGAATACGAATGCTACGGTGTTATGTCTTTTCTACACTGTTATATGGAGTTGATGCTTGGACACTAAAACAGTTGACCATAAAAAACATCGAAGCTTTCGAGATGTGGTGCTATAGGCGCATTCTCAGAATGTTATGGATGGACCGCGTCACTAACACGCAAGTACTGCAAACTTTAGACAAAAGATGCGAAATTCTAAATGAGATAAAAACTAGAAAGATGGAATACTTGGGGCACATTGTGAGTGGTGAAAAGTACGAACTTTTAAGAAACATCATGCAGGGTAAAATTAAGGGCAAAAGAAGTGTGGGAAGAAGAAAAATATCGTGGCTTCGTAATCTACGTGAATGGTTCGGGTGTAGTTCGATTGAACTTTTCAGGCGCGCTGCTAACAAAGTCGCAGTGGCCATGATGATTTCCAATCTCCGCTAGGAGTGGCACGAGAAGAAGAAGAAGAAGGAGTACGTTAGAGAACTTTTCCAAGATGAAAGAGATGAAATGCAGAAAATATAAAAATTAAATCCTTTAAAGATACAGAAGATCACGATAGATGAAATTAAATATGCTATCAAAAACTCTAAAGACAATAAGGCAGCTGGATTAGATGAAATACCAGTAAAACTGTTAAGACTAGTGGAAAAGGATAACTTGGAAGTATTGGCAGATTTATTCAACATATGATACGGGAATAATACCACAAGAGTGGCTGAAGTCAGCATTTATAACCATTTAAACCAAAAGCGTTTCTCAGGTCCATAAAAGCCAAATGTATATCTCTACTTTTGTTTTTTAGTTACAAACAATAGTTTACTCTAAACTATTGTTTAAGACGGGAATAGATTTTGTTTCGATCCAGAGAGGTGGCTATACCGCTCTGACGAGATCTAAAAAGGTCGAAATACCTATAAGCGGTTTCCGCCGCTCTGTATTGAAACAAAAATCTAGTACCGTTTTTATATTTTATTTTTTTACTCCGTCTGGAGTACTAGAAATTGAATTCACTACGAATTTTGACCATGATAAACGACATGTGGAATGCAATCTTAGATTCCCTTGTCAAGTTATTTATCAAACTGTTTGCTTTACTAGTTTTAGAAAGCACGGTGGTCAAAATTTGAATACGATTTCGCCAGGTAGAAATCATTTGATTTCTCTTTTTGTTAATCGAAATTCAATTTACCAAATATTAGCAAATCTCTCTCTGTTCCCTCTGTCTCACTATACCCCTTTATTCCTCTAGTTTAAAATTTTTGGTTTTTTTACAATTTATTTTACAATTTGTTTTTAGATTCTTTGCTAAGGCTGTATCAGCAAATCCCTACACCATGATTTTTTTTATTGTATTTGGTCTGATTTGTCCTATAGATGCTCCTCCAATGAACTCTACCTTGCAGAAAACTTGTAGCGATATTCAATTGAGCAATGAATTGTATACCTTAACAAATGCAGACGGTACAATAGTTTATGGTGGTGTGGTCGAGCAGTACACTATTGACGGTAAACATATTTTTTATATCATATTTTTAATGCAAGTATAATGAGAATTACTATTCGACGTTACTTACTAATCTGCGAGAAAAAATTATAGAGACAAGATACGGAAAGTTGTCCAAAGAATATCCTAAGTCACAAATTCCATTATTAAATTATTTCTGTTATTAAGATTGCTCTACTTTCCCACTATATGCAAAACATATTGTAGCGAGATTAAATAAAACGAGCGGTTCGAATTTATATAAATATATTTATTTATAACTTTACAGTTCGGTATTTTCTTATCAACTAAACTAACTCCTAAGATCGTTACATATATATACCAAAGTTACTATTTTCTAGAAAGTTCCCACCTCTAGGCGTACGTGACCGATTGTTCTCTTGCCTTCGAGGGATCTATCCATCGATGGTTCTCGATGCCTGAGATGCTTCGAGATGCTTCGAGATGCAACCGTTAGACGGGCCGCGCGGAATGCATGTTCGTAACACTGCTCTCCTTTTAGATCTGAGCGTCCCGATCAGCAACTCTATATGTAGGCCCAGGATGGCGGAATCTACAGGACTCTCCAGCTCTGCATGAATCCCTCAAAAAGAAATAACAGTCTACTGTCTTTGAAGAACACGTTCTCTTCGGATTAGTGCAACACACAGTAATTCTTACGCCGGTTTCTTCAAGATTACTTCAGTCATGCTTCTGACAATCTTCCAATCCAGATTATCTAGTGCATGGCCTATCTTGGGTAAGGCCAAATTCTTAATGTCGTAATTGCAGACGATTTTCTTCAAATTAGTTAGAGCACACCATATATCCTCGTAGGTTGTCTGTATACGACTTCCTGGTTACCATATACAGCAAAGATCGAGAACCATCTTCTAATTTCAGTACTCTTCCAACTTTAGGCTGCTGGTTTTTTAACTCGTCCAAGCGACCGAATTTCTTATAAAATACAGATGATATTCCTTTAGTCATCTCAAGATCTTGGGCAACACAGTGGGCTAGAGAGACGTTATGCGGAACACTAAAAAGATCCTGCTGAACTTCTGTCGTCACGCCGAATCTAGCACTCTTTTTCTCTGCGTAATTTGACATAAACTCGTTGGTCGCCGGTTATCTTTGATCTCATGTTGAAGGATTCGTACTTCTTCTGTTTCATTTGAGCCAGCATAAGGTGCAAGACGATTTATATGAACTACTTTTGGTTTACCTTTCGGCAACTTTTTAATTCGGTATATTACGTCATTTATTCTCTTTTTAATTTCATACGGACCCTCCCATTGTCTTTGCAGTTTAGGAGACAAGCCACGACGACGTTGGGGATTATAAAGCCAAACAAGATCACCTACTTCATAGCTTTCATTCTTGCATCGAGAATCGTATTGATCTTTCATTCTGTCACTGGCTAACTGGATGTGTTGTCGGGCAAGTTCATGAATGTTGTTCATTCTTAACTTTAGGCGGTCGACATAATCTTCGCTTGCAACATGTTCTTCGGAAGGTCTGCAGCCAAACTCTAGGTCGCAGGCAAACGAACTTCACGACCTAACATCAGGCAGGTTGGAGTGTGGCCCGTAGTTTCATTCACGCCGAGCGGTAGGACATTAAGAATAAATGAATGTGCTGGTCCCAATATCTTTGATGTTCTGATACAACTTTGGACAGGTATTTACCCATCGTTCGGTTCATTCTCTCGACCATTCCATCTGATTGAGGATGAAGGGGTGTCGTTTTGGTCTTATTAACACCAATCAATTTACAAACGTTTTGGAAAAGGGTTGACTCGAAGTTTCGTCCTTGGTCAGAGTCGATCTCCAAGGGAACACCAAATCGGCTAAAGAATTCTTTAACCAGTACCTCTGCAACGGTAGCAGCTTCTTGATTTGGTAGCGCATAGGCCTCAGTCCATTTCGTAAAATAATCCATGGCTACCAGGATATATTTATTTCCATCATTTGTCTCTGGAAGTGGACCTGCAATATGGATTGCTACTCGTTCCATAGGACTACCAACATTGTACTGTTTCATGGGTGCCCTCTTTTTACCAACTGGACCATTACTGGTTGCACACAGTTCACATTTCCGGCACCATCTTCTTACATCATCTTTACAGTTCACCCAATAGAACCGTTCTCGAACCTTTTGCAGAGTCTTCGTAATACCAAAGTGTCCACCTGATGCACCGTAACTGGCGCAATACTTCTGACACTTTACTTTTAGGTACAATCAACTGAAGCTTAGATTCTGTACCATCATCGTTCTCAAAGGTTCTATACAGATCATCTTTTAGCACTAGGCAATTCCATTGGCTCCAGTAACACTTGACTTCAGGACTACATGCACTAATGTCTTGCCAAGAAGGTCTTTCACTTCGACGCACCCAATCTAATACTCTTTTTATACATGGATCATCTGCTTGAGCGTCTTGTAGCTGTTGAGGCTGCCATTGATCATTAATAACGGTGGTTCGCCTCACGGGGCAATTCGTTCTTCTAATTCAAGACAATGATTACGATTTGCACTGTATGGCCGTCTTGATTGAATATCAGCATTTGAATGACTTTTTCCAGCCCAGTGCTCGATCTGTTCTATCTTTCTGACTGTTGTATTATTTTCTTGTAATTTACGACGAATGTGACCTTCGTTGTTACCATTCCAACATCTGGGTTCACGTCTCTTCAGCATCATGTTACGAACTAGTAGAAGGTCTGGTAACATTTTTCTTGACCCTTAGGAATCGATCTTAGGATATCTGCAGCATCACCTCGTAAAGCAGCAGTCAAGCAAACAGCCTTTTTTTGTTCTGTCCAATGATTGGCTGTCGCAATAGCTTCAAATTGTCTAAGGTATATGGACCAAGAGGACTTTCCATCAAATGGTGGCAATTTGAATCTCATATGATGTGTCATTTCGTCTCTATGTACTTCTTCTTTCACTACCGGATCTACAACTAGTGTATTAACTGGTGGTAGCAATTTTGTATTGGTTATCATGCTCTCTAACTGTTTGATCTTCTCTTCTACTTTATCAAATGTTTTAGAAACTTCTTCAAATTTCTCATTGTTCTGAATACATATTTCTTTAATTATTTGTGAAGTCTCGTCGAATCTTCTAGATACATTTTCGAATGTTTCATCGAATCTTTTGGAAACGTTCTCTAATTTATTATCATGTTTTTTAGAAGATTCTTCAATAATATGCTACACATTTTCAAATTTCTCATTCATTTTTGTTAAAACTGTTTCTTCTGCTGATTGAAACTGGAATGTCTCTGGGTCATCTCCATTCTTATTAAGAACATTTTTTAGTCGTTCTTGGAGGATCTTCTTGGACCCACTGCAATTTTCATCGCGTTCTTCTAGTTGCTTACGCAACTGTTTTACGGAAAGTTGTACTAGCAGCATCTTTGGTCGGGCACACACGTACTTTTTAAATGTTCTTTCGTACAACGAGCACTACTGAACTACGCGGATGTTCCCGACGAACAATACTTTTCAAAAGTTCAAAAGTCTTTTTCAAAAATCACTGATGAATTTATGGTTCTCGATGCCTGAGATGCTTCAAGATGCTTCGAGATGCAACCGTTAGACGAGTCGCGCTGAATGCATGTTCGTAACAATATTGATGCCCCAATTTCTCATATATCTCCATGATGTTTTTGAAAATAATTAGCTGTGGTACGCCGTGGGCACGCTCAAGTGTTGAACATTCTCTTTGAACTAAAAGCCTTCCACTCTGTTAGATTACTGGTTCTGTAACTTTGTTTTATTGTCTTGGTACTTCGAATATGGATATATTAAATATATATATAATAATCGAATTATATATATATATATATACAGGGTGAGTCACGCTCAACGGGACGGAGCCTACCGGGGAAATGGCTAAAGATATTAAAAATTCCTTTTGTAGGAATACGTAGGTCAGTACCGGCTACAAATTAAAATTTGTGAGATATATACAGGGTGTCCCAATTTGGCGTAATGATATAAACTTATACTTTTTTAAATGGAATAACCTATATTTCACTTTAATTTTGAATTCTACTGAACAAAATAATGTTACTTTATTCAACATTCCCTATACCTATTTTTGACCGGTTTTGATTTATTTGGGTTTTTCTGAAAATGTACTATTCGCGAAATTAATTAATTACACAATATCGCATGAATTTTAATTAACGCCTTTTTGTCAATTCATTTTCAAGTGGCCATGCTTTACATCAGAATAATTACCAATTGAAATTAATCTACAGAGTGTTCGCAATACGAAGTGTCAATGCTGTTAAATAGTTTGTGTAATTACTTTCTTAACTTAAATAGGACACCCTGTATTTTACTTTAATTTTGAATTCTAATCAAAAAAATAATATTACTTTATTAAACAATCCCTATACCTATCCTTTATAATTTTCGATTAATTTGAGTTTTTTTGAAAATGCACTATTCTTGAAATTAATTAATTACACTTTATTACATAAAGTTAAACAAAACACACTAGAAAAAAATTAATTTACATTAAATGTTCAAAATGGTGTCCATTTTCTTCAACACATAACCTCACTCTGTGTTCAAAATTTTGTTTTACTCTTCTTAGCATTTCTGGAGTAACTGTTGCAAACGAATTACGAATACGCGTTTTCATGTCTTCAGCGGTTGTAGGTGGAGTTTGATAAACCAAACTTTTAATATATCCCCAAAAAAAAGTCCCTTGATGTTAACCCAGGTGATCTAGGGGGCCAATTGACAGCACCACCCCTACCTATCCACTTTCCGGGAAATTGTCTGTCTAAATATTCTCTAACGTTACGCGTGTAATGTGCTGGAGCACCGTCTAGCTGCAGAAACATTGTTCTTCTAATATTTAAAGGGATATTTTGCAAAAGTATCCAAAAGTCTCTTCGTAGAAATCTTAAAAACTTTTGTCCATTTAAACGGCCATTAAAAAAATACGGTCCTATCACATATTCTCCTATTATTCCACCACATACATTAAGAGACCATCGATT